CCTTTAATAAAAATAAATCTAATGTCTCTATCATCCGTGATTCATAATATATACAAATTTATAACGAAATTATTTTTATTAAATAGAAATTACAAAACTATAGTTGGACCGTTTGATTTAAAATTGAATTACCTTCATTTTATGAAACTCGTCTCAGTTACATGAGTAGATGTAATAATCAGAGGAGATAACAAAGAAAAAAATGTGAAAATAAAAGGATGAAAAATTATTATGAAAGATACACAAGTATTGTAACTTGAGTAATACTCGTAATTCAAGTTTTTTAAAGTAATAATTTAAAAAGATTAAAAAGTCAACTACAAATAAGCTTAAACTTAGAGTTGAAACTTTTTATAACTTTTATAATGATTACACAGCTTGACAAAATTTTTATCATCTTTGTTTTCAATATTATATTTTTAACGTTGATTCCAAATATTTTATTTTGAATATGACCTCGATTATGATTATTTTTTCATTGTTATTTTTTCGCTATAATTAATTATTTAAAATTTATATAAACTATACCATAGAATTCTAATTCTAAAACTAATTAGATTTATATTTTAATTTTTTTCCAAATTAAAAAATATTAAATATTTTTAATTATAAATGTATTTTTTTTATGTAATTTTTTTAATTTATCAAGTTTTTTCGCATTTATACCGGTTACATCAACTCAAAATGGTGTCAAATAGAATATTTTAGTATTTATTGAATTATTATATAATGGCCTATCGATTTGAAAAATAATGACATAATTATTAACTTTTTTTTTTAATATTGTAAAACTCAAATTCAAAAGTTCATATATAAAGTAAAATACTTATATGAAGATAAATACTTATCGAATCATAAGTATATAGTTGGAGGGCAGCGTATACAACAGTACGAATTGTACCAACTGGCGTTACATATATTATGATTGTATAGAAATATTAATAACATGATAAGTACTTATCCTAAACTTTTTATCTTATATGAAAAATTATTAAAAACATGCTCTTAACATTATCCGAAAAAAAAAATTAAAAAATTATTGAAAAAATAAAAAATAAAAGTATTTTCTGGTTTAAAAATTATTAAAGATGTAATAGCATAGTGGGACATATTGTAGATCGACGACAGTTTCAGTAAGACCATATTTTTAAAAAAATAAAATAAAATGGCTTTTTAGTTTTGAAAGTATAAATAATTTAATTTTAATAATACATTACTTTGTTTGATATTTATTAGATAAAAAGATTTTCCATATTGTTAAAATATTTTCCTAATTTTTTATTTCTGTGCTATTTTTAATGTTACGCTCGGAGCGTGTGCAACTTTCGTCATAACTTTACTATGGTTACAGTTAATAACATTTTATTTTTAATTTTAACATTAAAATTTCTTATTTAAAATGATTAGTTCAATTTAAATATTACAAAATTTTCTTTATTTATATATTATATCTCCAAACAATTTAAAACGATATCGATTAAATAAAATTCAATGGATAATCAAAGACATGAAAAAATTATTATTCTATGTAGTTTTTTTTTTGACAGTAGTTCAATTTATTTTATATGACAAATAATCCAAAGTTATTATATTATGTTTTAACTTAATTAAAAGAAAAGTCATGCCTTGCGGTAATCTTAAATGGTTTATACAAAATTAAATAAACAAAAATAAATCATTCATTATAAAGTTAATTGGCGCCCTTTGATCATTTGTTTTGGGATTTTTAAATAAAATGAAAACTAGAGTATTATTAATAAAAAATATATTTTTTAATAAAGAAAAATACTTTAATCGGGTACCAATGTTTTATGCTTTAAATAAGCCGTATATGTTATATTTAAAACAGTTAAGTGATCTTTAAATTATAGTGAATACCAACCACTAGGTGGATCTAGAAAAAAATTATTTATAAATTATGTTTTTTTTTAATGTAATCAAAATTTTTGATGATAAGATATTAAAAATTTTATTCCTGAATGTTTAAACAGTTAATTTTAGATACGTAATGAGATTTATTTATAAAAACATTTTATGAAAGTAAAAATTTATATTTTTGTTTTTATGAAAAGAGTAAATGATCTATGACCTTGTAGATAATTTAACTATAAAGACAATAGCATATTTTCAAAACGCTTTATGTTGTTAAGCTGTTCGCTTATTCATACTAGAAATCTTTAAACATTTGCATTAAAATTTAATATAAAGAAATGAGTCAGTTAAATTGTGTAAATAGGTATAAAAACTAACTTTTATTAAAAATTTCTTAGATTTTATATATCATTATATTTTAGTAGTCATGGTTGGAAATATTTATATATATATATATATATATATATATTAATAAAAGAAAGGTAAGTATTTTTATTTTTTTTTTGTGGTAAAGTCTAATAATTTTTATCAACACTTAAGCAAGAAGTTTTCTTATAAGTAAAATATGTATATGTAGCCAAAAATAAAGGAATTAATTTAGTTTTTTGAGCACTTGACTCTGTATTGTATATAATAGAATCACATGCGAAGGAATATTTTACGAACAAGGTAGTGCACCGAATCGTAAAAACTATTGTACACACAATATGCACAGAGACATAGGGCGATTAAATAAAAAAAGATAACGACAAGGGTAATTAATCAATAAAAAGGACTATGTGCTAATTGTAAAATATAACCATGCAGTAAGTGCTAAAAATGGTGACAAAAACAAATATAATAACTAGAGCTGAGGACTTCTACCATTTCTATACATTTTTGTACAAATATAAAAGATCCCGTTAAAAAATAATTTGTTTCGTGTAACGATAAATATAAATCTGTAATTTTTTATTGTATACTTTTGCATATTACTTATTGAATAATTGGTACTTTTTACTTATATAAGCAAAATACATATGCGTAGACACAAATTGAGCAATTATTTTGGAGGTAAATTTGTTAAACAACAAATTTCCCTCTCCTAAAAATATTTCTAAAACAATGCAAATTTTACTGATTTTAAGGAGAAAATAACTTTAATATTTGAAAGTAATTTAATTTGCGCCTATGCAGACGTTTTCATTTCTACTGTTGACTTTTTAAAATATTTTGCAATTTTTTTCTCTTAAATAACCAAAAGCTAAAATACAGCTTATCAATTATACTACGAATGGAGTATTAGCATTTTGTTCCAGTGCAGTTAACACCATAAATCCCATTAACACCATAATGACGGCGTGCATCTTTTACATGTCTTCAGTCGAGTACGATTTATTTATTAACACATTATAATCCGTAAATAAATCCCTGATAGGAAGATAATGTTTTTTAGAAACTACAAAATATTTTATTGTTTTGATATCAAAAATTAGGTACCAATTTAATGGACACTTTGAATGCATTTATCCATGTCCGTGATTCATCAATGCCTTGTAGGGCAAAGTCATATTTCTTTAAAAANGGCGTTATCGAAGTTTCTCGAAGGTTTTTGATAACGAGAACATTCGAGAATATTCGTTGCGTATGTTTTGGTCGCTACAAATAAATTTTTGAGCGCATACTTTAGGGTTTATGTGAATATAAGTGATTGCACATTTAGGTATTTTTTTAAAGTTTTTAATTATTTGCCCTAATAAGAACACACATAACAGACCAGAGACATATTATTCATTTCCACTGTATATCACAATAGAACCAATACTGAATGTCTCTGGTGATGAGAATCATTTTTGGTGTCTGTACTCCCACCTCCATTTACCCGGTGATGACGTCAATAGTGTTGCTGATTTATAAATTATGAATTATTACTCATTAACCAGTAACGTTTGTTTTTATTAGTCAATTAGAGTTGTCATTTGCGATACGCAAGGTATCTAAAGTTTTATGTTACAATTTTTACCCTTGGACGATTATTCCAAACCACTAATATTTTTTCCTTTAAATAAATTATAGTCTTTTTTTATACGATACGTAAGAAAAAAAAATTTTTTTACTAACGCATTTTGTCCTATTCTTTATTATATAAATGGACTAAAAAATTATAATAAATTATTTAAAATCTTCTCAATTTATGCTTCAATATTTATCTCTAATCAAATTAATTGATTATAATTTTCTTTCTAAAATAATTTATTTTTATTCATTGTTTTAATTTTGAACGTCATCCTAACTATAAACTAATTATTATATATTTGGTTGAGTTCTATAAAACATTATATTTAAGTATACAAAAGAACACAAGTCGACAGTTTCTTTTTTTTTTGCTTATTCATTTATAGATTTTTACTAATTTGTCAATAAAAATAAAATAACAAAAAAACATTGTTTTGAACATAAACATTAATCATTATCGTTAGCCAGATGTATTCCCAAAAATTATCTAGAGAGGAATATGCATAATTTGTTTTACTACCACCTACAAAATGCATCTTTATAATATAGAGATTTATGGTTTATTTTCATCATAAGAAGCCTACTTTCCTAATAGTTTTAAACGCTCCTGTCCTAGGTTTTTTTACATGTGTAGTTCTTAACCATAAGATGGAAAATGGGACTGAACAATCTTATATGTTTATGAATAACCATTTTACTTACTATTAAAAAATATTTTTAGGATGAGGTGAACATCAATATTAGCCTACGTATCATAATCAACACAACCTATGCTCGATTAAAAAAAAAATAATTATAAAATAAAAATTCTAATTTGGTTTCTAGATATTATAAAGGTTCAAAAACTGTTTTTTTAGGTTCTATTATAGTCCCTGCTAATAACTAAGACACTTAATATTCATATATGAGAGAATAGAAAAACATTTCAACTACTTATGTTTTGCTACATAGGATTAATCCTTTTAATCTGTTACCAAGATTATTTTTAAATCAAAATTATTTATTTTACAATCATTTTTTATGTTAAAACTAAAAATTTACACTGTAACTAAAATTTTTATTCATCAAACTTTAATCGTAGTTCAAGTTTTCACCATATAAAATTTCAAAATAAATGAATAAACTATAGTTACCATTAAGTATATGGATGACAGTGTTTGCGGGAAATGCGTTGCTAGGTGCACATGTATAATTTCCCGAGTGTTCCCGAGAAGCACGTTCTATGTACAGAGCACTGTGCTTTTTGGGTAAATCTGACGTCACATTTACCCCTCTGTCGATATCATAGTTGATCATCCTACTGTCGTGATACCAGAATATGTACACTGGGTCAACAGGACTTTGTCGGACATCACATTCAAGGTGTAAAGGACTGTTAAGCATAAGATACTTTTCAGAAGCACCGGCGATTTCAGCTTGAGCTTCTATAAAAAAATTACAAAAAGAACTTTATTGAATAACATTAATATGAATTGTAAAATCTTGTATTTGATTTTTAAATGAAAAGAAACTAGTTTATTTTTACTTTTAAAAAAATAACAGTTTTATATTTGATTTTAATTTATAGTGACTTTTTTATTGGAACATTTTCTAAAATGACAAATAGTTCATTGTATTTTAATTATTATACAAACTTTAAGTAACTTTAATGGTTGTGTTCTTTAATTATTAACCAAATAAAATAATAATATTATAACATATTCCTAACGTTTTTCAAGGATTGTCATTTCATACATTATTTATAAGATCAGCGTAAACATTAAACCGTCTTGAAAGAGTAAATTTATTTGAGGATAAACTATTCAAATAATGAAATTTTTGTAATGGGGTTTTTAAAAAATTATATTAATGTAAACAAATATCATTCATAATATGTTTATTATAAATGTTTTTTCTTTTTAAACAAATATATATATATTTCTATAATGTGTAAAGTTTCTTTTTGATATTTCAATGTTTTTCTAATTTTGATATCTAATATCTGATTAAAGTAAGTTTTATTATATAATTAATTTATAAACAAACAAATAAAAATAATATAAAAAAGCTAACTACCATTCATAGATGTTGAAAAACCAAATGAGAACTGATGTTAAGTTCAGTAAAAGAAATAATAAAACACATTCATGCATTTCCGCAGGCTACCATATACTGGATCATTAAAAACTAAGGGTGTCTGATAAAAGTTTTTTGGTATGGCATAAGCCATCTCACTACAAAAATATCGAAAAAAAGACAAGAGGAAAAAAATACGCTAAAGTTTTATTAGGATTTTCTGCCTTTTTATTTTTACCTTTCAAAACTGTTGTATTATATTCTTTGTCAGATTTATGTAAGTCCAGTTCGCCTAGTTGTTTACAATATCCAGTCGTTATTAAAATAATACACCAATTTATTTTTATACCTGACTCATTTTTTTAGTTGGCACCCATTTTGTAATCGTTTTTATAGTACTTAAAAACTTTTCATTAATATATTCTATAGAATTACTATAGATACTTTAAGGAAAATAAAGTGTACTTTAAAGTAATAAGTTTTATACCTTGTAACTGTACAAAATCAGAAAAAATATAAGCATTATTAAATAGTTTTATTAGTGGAGATAACCAAACAGCTAGATGAAAACTAGAAACTATATAGCAATTTTTAAATTTTACTCTATAAAAGTAGTTAAGTCTTTCATTTATTGTTATTTCTATTTGAATAAACTAAAAACTTGAAATTTTGATGACCAAAATTTATAATTATTTAAATAAAAATGTTAAATCTGTATCAAACTTACCGACAACTTTAAGATTTATAAATATGCTTTTTGGAGGATGAGATGATATTTGACATTCATATAGTCCTGCATCTCTTAATTGCACATATTTGATTTGAAGTGTCCAATCCTAAAATAACGATATAATTTTTTTAATTTTTATACAATATGAAAATTATAAAAAAATTTTTAACCATTCTTATGTCATTAATTTGTACATTGAAAAGCAAATGTAATAATGCAGTCTTTGTGGGACTCCGCTTTTGATGTATTTATCGTGACTTAATGTGATATTTATGTTTACCTATTGGTTTTATGTTCATAGATAAAATCTAATGTCATAAAGAATTATTTTCAAATAAGTCTTATTAGGTTTTATTTAGAATTAAAATTCCAATTAAATCTAATTTCATTAGTAATATTTATGGTCAAAAGTGCTGAATTACATAGCCAAGTCGAAATATTGGTTAAATACTTTTTTTAATTTAGTGAAAAGGAAAATATATTAACTTATAATTTATCTTAAAACTGAAATTGTTCAATTGGTTAACTTATCAAGTTAAAAAAAGTTACTCATTTGTGGTAATACGTATTTAATCCAGAGAATAATAAAATCTAATCAAATTTAATTGTAATTATGTTTATTCTACAAAACAATATAATAATCAATTACAATATTAAATTGACAAAAATATGAATTAAAAATGCCATTTATCCACGACTTACTAGTTTTGTTTTGTTTTGAAAAATATGGATAATTTAATTACTATAATAGGAGTTTTTAGGATTTAATCCCTCTATTTCTTTTTTTTACAACATTATTCTGAGAGTTTTTGTATAAATTAATTAAAACGCTTTTTCTTTGCCTCTTTGGTCTCCTACATAATTCCTCAACAGCATTAGACAAATTGTTAGTCACATCTGGTGCTCTGTCCAGCGCAGTACCATCTGTCAAACGGTTGACGAATCGTTACGTAGTTCACTGGTTACAAGGATACTTGCAAGAAAACTCATTTAGTGAGAAAATAGCAATCACATGAATTATTATAATTTCTACATCTTTTAATTGAATTTTAAATATATTTCTTATTTAAAAATTAAAATTAAATTTTTTTTTGTAAAAAACATTTTTCTTGTTATTTATATTTATAATATGATAGATATGATATTATAGAATTATTCTAAGATTTTATATTTAAAACTAAGCACCGCGCAAAAAGTGTCTTTTAAACATTGACAAAGATCCTTGTGGAATTCTATTACAATAATTTTTATTGTATTTTAATGTAAAATAATTAAAAATATACAATAACCATGAATGTTACTTCTAACTCTACGACACAAATATAAATAATAAACTAGTTTTCTAACTCGTGTTAATGATTTAGAAATTGGAAAGTAAATATTCATTAAAATAAATTCAGTCGTGTTGTTCATATATATGTTCTTACATGGGCTTATGGAATCCGAATATGGAAACCAGCTAAACCTTCAACAATAACGCTAATACAAGTGTTCCAAAATATCACACTATGAATAATCACAAATACCCTTGATACATATCTAACTATAATCTACATAAAGACCTACAAATAGACACTGTTAACGAACTTGCCAAATTACATACTATAGATTCCACTCAAAACTTAACATAAACTCAAACCCCCTACTAAAACGCATTTACACGACCAGTATTCTCGACGACCCTTCCAACTGAAATAGAGACCTACTACCATAAAATAAATAACTTAATAACATTAATTGACTTACTATAGAAGTGTTACCAATAGGTGGCTTCCTTTTCAAGATATTCAAGCTTTGCAATATAATATAGAAAAAAACTTATTGAACATATTGATTTGTATGGATTGTTTTATGTAAAAAAAAAATTCGTGATGCAAGCAATAATAATTTTGGACAATTTTCTTTAAGGCTAAACATTATATCTGACTATACTTCGCGTAAAAATTGATTGTTATCAATAACTTTTTTATATGATAAGAAAAATTTCTGTTTTTGAATTGCAGATTATAATTCTAATAGATGGAATTTGGGAGAAAGGTGGCTTTGAAAGCTAAATTCCGCAAAAATACAGAAAATTATACAAATTTAAGATATAAAAATAATTTTAGATAGGGAAAAATTCTAATCAGTATCCCGAAAATTTCTTTTTAAACTCCGTCTGTGATAATTTTAATTTTCGAGACCAATACTGTTAAATCTTATCTTGCTTTTTACAGATATAGTTTCTTATGATATGTCAGATATAGTAGTCTATCTTTTAAAAAATATATACTTTCGTTTAATAAATAATCATGTCGGTAAAAATTGACTATACTTTATACTAAACACGGCCATCATATCACTTGGTTGGGTTGGTAATATTCCTGTATTAAATAATTATTTCCTAGCCAAAAAGATGTTTTGGACTAGAATACCAATACAAGTTTGAAACAAACAGTTTCTTAAAGTTGTCTGTGACTTTTGTAAACATTAAAAGCTTACTTTTTGGAGAGTCAGTAAAACTATATTAATATGCACTACGAGTTTTTGCCACAAAGTTGAACAAAATTTTCGATTTTTTATTATAGGACGATTATCTATCATTTGAAACAAAGAGACTTAACGTGTTGCGTTTTTTATGGCTTTGCTAAAAAAATTCATTTTCACTGCACGTACATTGTAAGTCCTACTGAAAGTTTAAATTCGCCCATGCGAAATTCTACATTCAATTTTGTTTTGCCGCATAAAACAAAGGAAAAATAATGTCAAAAAAACTCAACATTAATCTTGTATGAATTCATGTATACGGTAAAAATAGTTAATAAAAATATGTTTTTTAAATAATGACATTAGTTATGTACTTTGAAACAGATGATTCAATTTTGACGATGAAGGCAGTGTTTTGAATCTGATTGTTTTAAATTAAACCAAAAAGGTATTCATAGAATTTAAAAGAATAGCAATATTTTTAGAAAAGTGGAGTGCATTAATAATACGAAAGAATAATTATGTAAATTATCGGTATCTTGATAAGGATTAATGAACAATATTTTATTTATATAAATACATCCAGAAAAAACCGCCAATGACAATCACTGATAGAAAATAAAATATTCCAGTTTACTAATCATTTTTTCTTACATTAAAATTCTTTTAAAATCGTATAACCTTTTTACGCCATCAAAAACGCTTTGAAAAATGATGAAGCAAATAATATTATTATTGATATTTTTTAAATAAAAATAAACAACTAAATAATGAATAATTAATATATGAGTCATTTATAAAATAACAGTAAAATATAAAATTTAATGAAGTTAATACGGAAATTACGATTCTTTTTATAATCAGTAATAAGATTCAAAGTAACACGGCACCCATGTGATGAAGGACTCTGGTACTAGACTAACAACTAATCATACAACATATGTGCATAGGCTGTTGAGAGGCCAATGATACAACAAAATAAAACTATAACTAATCTTAGTTATAGTCCCCTAATAAGATGATAAATTTTATAATAAATTACTACCATTTAAATTTAAGACTTAACAATTATAATGATAATGAAACCGATTTATAGTGCAATTTTTCAACGGAGGTCGTTAATTTTAAAGAAAATAATATACTTTAATATAAAATAATTTTAGATAGGAGATATTTTTAAGAAATAAATAAATACTTAATTTAAAATACTGAATTTATGTAGGTGATTTATAAAGTATATATAAACGTTAAAAAATCTTCAAGAAAATATATTTTTATACTAAGTATTATTTTTCTATAATCAATTTTTACAAATGTTATTTAAATATGCATGTTCACGTGTATTGCAAAAAGGTTTAATATTTTACATTATTTAATTCAATAATAGTAACAAACATTAAATTACCCCTGTCTGAATATGATGTAAAGATTGAAACCTCAAGTCTTCTGTGTATGTTGATAAACCAACTGTTAAAAGTCTATAGTCTCGTCTTCGAATCCACGACACCTATAATTTCATAAAATTAGAACAAAATTTTTTTCTTTGAAAAGTTAAAAAAAACTATATTAATTGTTAATTATACTTTTATTTATTTTAAATTTATCAATTTCTCATTAGAAAGTATGTAAAAATTATTATTTTATGCTTAAAGTATTTAGTATTTATTTGTTTATTTATATCTATATTGTAAGTGTTTTTAATATATTATTTTTGTAATAATATTTTCAATAAAAATATACATTTTCTTTTTATCTGGAGTTAAGATTGAATTTTTTTTTTTTTTATCTTATTCAAACACCGTTTTTTAAAAAATATATTTTTGGATAGCTTCTGCCATATAAGATTCTTATCAGATATATTGTATTTTCAATGGCAAGTGTAATTGTATAATAGTGTATTGAGAGTAAATTTAATTTAAAATATCATTGTATTTACACAATTTTAACAATTGTAAGTTCGTAAATTAACGTTTTATTGTTCGATTTAAATGAAGTCTTATGTATACAGCGTGATTTATTAAGTATATAATCTCGCACATTTTCATTAAATAATGATTTTTTTCATACAATTTTTAGATAAAATTTAGTTTATTTTTATAAACCATTAGAAATATTAAGTTTGTTATAAGGAAAAATTATTCATAAGTGTAGATTTAAGGGGTATATTTCAAAAATTAAATGATAAAGAATTAGTTGTAAAATTATATTTTTCTACTAAGTGAAGAATGGTCTTAAAAATGTTACCAAGTCGAATATCAGTATTCTATTATTACTTTTGAACTGTTATAATTTTTAGTTATAGGCATAGGGGTTGCACATTGCAAAAGAATATTTATCTGAGTCATGGTAAAATAGAGCTCCGCTAAACACAAGCCACTCCTCATCTTTTTTATATCTTAAGATGCTTATACCTCAAAAAGTAATAATACAGAACTGGTTATCAATCAGTCCAAATTTTATCTAGACCATTTTCAATCTAATAAAATAAATATTATAATAGGTTTCATTTGAACTTTCGAAAGTCACTCCTAAAGTCTAACCTTAGAAATTTTTTTTCTTATAATAACTTGATATTCACAATGGTTTTATAAAAATAAAATTAATTTTTATCTATACGAAAAAAAACATTATTTATACTATGCTTAGTAAATCACAATTGTATATTATAAAACGCATCGTTTTTTTCTTAAAGTTTAATATAAGCTATATAAGTTAATATTAATTTAAAAAGATAATTTATAATTATATGTTTTCTATAATGAAATAAATAAATAATATTTTTTGCATTTATAGATAAATTTATCTACAATCATTTTTTTAGAACTATAAAACATGTATATTACAATTGCTATTATTATTTTATTATATACTATTTAAATTTTACAGAAAGTTGATGCAAATATTTTACCTAAAGTAATGTGATAATCATAGAAATGTGTATTATTTAAACAAATATTTACAAACACAATCCTTTGAATTTCAAATTTAACATTCTAGATAAAATTTACGTGACTAATTATATATCTTTTTTTAAAAGCTTTATGTAATCTTACCACACAGTCTCCTAAATTAGAAACTAGACAGGATATTCGACTTGAAGCTCCAGTTTGGGCAACTATCGTTGACGAGTTTTCCGTTAAAAACTTAGGTTTGAGCAGTATTCGCTGTAATTGTGTATCATCTAAAATACTGGACTGTGTTGAATTTGATGAATCTGTCGTAGTCGTGCTAGTTCCTACAGAACTAGTGATATTTAGTGTTTGTACGGTGGTGGGGCGAACAGTAGTTGATTGTTTATTTAGTTCTTTACCTTCACTTTTCGGCACTGAATTTTGCTTTCCGTCTCCTAAACAATACAGTTAAGAACGTGTAAGTAAAAAGTACTGTTAAAATTTTCAAGTTAATTATTTTAACTCATTGAATTTTTTCTCTTTTCGAGAATATTTTTCTATAAAAAAACATTTGTAACAAAGAAAATTACATTTTTTATTCCAGTAGGTTTTAATTAAAGTAGGTAAGAAAAATATATTTCAAACTTCATAGCCAAACAAAAAGTTTTCAAATTCAATTAGCTAACGTCTAAATAATTATGAAGGCCAACCTTCCGGTAGAAAAAAAGTACTTGAAAAAAAAAACGTTTTGTTTACACAGATAATGAACACACTCAGCGCTATTCACATAAATTTGTATGTTTTTATATATTAATGTCACAAAGTCGTATATGATAAATATCAGAAATCAAATAGCAGTTTACAAAAAAAAAAAAACAATAAATGTGTTTGTAAAATAAATCTTCAAGANATATTTTATCCGCGTTTGTAAAATAAATCTTCAAGAACCTTCTTTTCTCGACGTTAACAATTGTACAATGTACAAATACGAAAAATGTAAATGAAATACTAGCGACGCTTTCGACTGATGCAATTTAGAATACACGCGCTCACACTAACTTTTACACCCTCACACATATGACTACTATGCTATTATACCACATGTGAACACAGATACAAAAATCGGTTTTTCCTGCATACATAAATCCGACGTCAAAAAGTCGCGTTGTACTGACAGTGGCCAAATGTTGTATAGATGCGAATAAAGTGAAAAGTGTTTTATACTTCCGTTTTTAGATCTGAAATAGTCAAGGTTTCAAAATAAGTTTTCGAAACTCTAAAACCCAAACTTGATTAATTCAGAACAACCTCAACAAAACCAAGATTGATTTATGGATTTTTCTTCAAATGTTGTAATCCAATAATTAAAAAGCATGTACAATTTTTATAAATCCACTTCGAACTTTAAAAGAACATATCGATGAAACTTTATAATTTACTGTATCGTATGACCGCCTTGTTTAACTGTCAACGTTTATTTATGTGATTTTATTTCTGTTAGACTTTAAATCATTTAAAAATTAAAATGTCTATGTAAACAATTTATTATATAGTATTTAAAATTATTATTTCATAAGAAAATTTTCTTCGGAGTGTTATACTATAAATAAATAAAGCATTTTGGCAAATTGTAAAACATTTATGCGTAAGATTTTTATATTTCATTTTTGTATTCCGAACTTGGATTATGTACTCTCCATTGTAATACATGTGATAGATACGTGACATCAAAAGTTATATCTGATAGCATTAACCTACATAAGTAAAATTTCGTTATACCAATTTAATACTACTAGGACTAAAAAAAAAAAATGTATATGTAAATGAATATCTATATATTTAAAAAAAAAATTTTTTGTAAAAATAAATGTATATATACATATTGTTATTTGAGTATACTGTAATGATGTTTTACAAATTAAATTTATTCACCAATAATATTTTAACAACGATGAAATAAAATATTATGTCTGACATATTTTAATGAAATAAATCCAAAAAAACATTTTTCAAATAGGTATTAGTTGCATTCAGCAAAACATTTTTTTCATGCTGTTAATTAGTGAGATACTTTAAAATGGTTCGTCATTTTTCAGTTGTGTTAATAGAATGCAGAAAAAAGCACCACGAAAGAAAGTAGGTAAAAATGATAACATATTTTTGATAATATCCTAATAACTATATTATAGTCATTAAAACAAGTAGCAATTTCCCAAAATATATTTTTATTTATATATTTTACACGAATGACATACAACATTAGATATTTGTATTTTTTAAGGATTTAAATTTTTGAAATAAAAAAATGTGTATACATTCAATTGTGTATAATACTATTAAATGGGACTTTATATGTTGTAGTTTTGATCTCATTACTAGATATATGTTGTTTCTTTTAATAAAATCCGTAGAATACGTTTTAATAACATAACATTGTAACAGTTTCTAGTAATCAATCACAAGCTAACGACTATTTGCGTATTTGGTTTAAAATTAACGTTCAATTATATGTGCTAATATATGAGCTATTTAAATTTCAATTAATTGTATTTTGTATATTCAGTATAAACGTAATTGACGCTTGTTCATGTGATATGCCAGAGAATGATATGGCCCAAATCTTTTGTGAATAATTCTCTGTATTTTTCCCCTATAGCTTTCTCGTTAGTCAATTAATCAATGTTGGGTGCATGGAATATATACATGTATAGTCTCGATTAAAATGGTTAACTTTGAAAGTACCACCAGGGACTTTCAAAATGTTCGTTATATTAACCGTTTTGTACAGGAAGTGGTTTATATTGTGCAAAGCAGTGATAGAATACGACCATCATTCGAGTTCCAGAAGACAGCCATCAAGAGACATTTTCTTGTTTTCTATAGCTGTCAAAAATATTACAAGTGTACTAAGCCAAAGTGGTGATAGTAATTGTATCACAAAACAAGATTTTCTTAAGAAACTTTTATACTAAAATTGAATTTCAAACTTCTCAGACCATATATATATTATTAAAATTTACCCTGGTTAGTTTAGAAAGTAACATTACTTTATCATATAGCTATTTTTTAAGCATCTAATTAAAAAAAATTAGAAACTTAATGAGTTTTATAAAAAAATTTTTTTAGAGATAAAAATTACTAGTCGTGTTATATTATAAGAAAGAGAAAAATATATTTAAAATATTTAACTTTTTTATACTACTGGAAATATTCAAGCTGAGACATAAATCGTATAAAGCATACTGGAGGGTATAATCGAAATTTAAAGATAAACTGCAGTACAGTAATTGGATGTGTATACAAATTATATCTACGATTACATTGCATTGCATTAATTTTATAATATTGGTACGACTATAATACGAAAATCATTTGAAATGATTTCTTATTATTTATTTATACATCTTACTATCTGTGACAGCAGCATTACTTTGTATAGATTTTAGTTTGCATTATGTGTATCTAACATACTATAAATCACAAGTATTCTTTTTATATTTTCAAGAAATATTACATGTTTTTATTAAAATAAATGTTAAAAGTTGTACATTTTTAATTTATTTTTCACGTTTTATATGTTGTTTAATGCAATATATGTAGAATGAACAAAAATAAAAAAATGTTGCACAAAAATACAATGATTTAATTTTATAGTACTTTAAAAAGTCCCAAAAATATAAATAACTATGTATACTTTAGTGACATTTAAATTTTCTTTTATTTTAAACATACATACTATGATTTTTTTTTTTTAATTTTCCTATGGTTATCATTTTTTGTAAATTATTATAAGGCGTGAACTACAGAATAAAAAAAAAAATAATAACAACAGGGAGTATCGCAAGAATAAATCTAATGAAAACCAGTCACAGAATCCTGCGTAGAATGAAAGACATGTGTTTCAATAATTTACTACTTCATGATATACATTAATATTAAAAATAGAAATATAAAACTTAAAAAGTTGTTTTTTAAATATATCTTAGAAAACTCATAGAAACCTTAAAAATTCACTATTTTTTGCACTAGAGTTATTAAATCATAGACATTATTTCATTATTTATATTAAAAGTAAATACTTTTTGCACAAATAAAAAAATTCTATTTTTATATAAAACAAATGTTTAATAAATGAATACTGAGGTATTTTTGTTATTCTAGAGATTAGTTATTTTCTTAATAAACTTCTGTAAATAAAATCCTAATATTACTGGAAAATTGACTTAATATTGACCACTAAAATTACCCTAAAATAATAATAATTTTGAGGACTTTTTTGTCTTTGTTCAGTAGAATTTATTTTCTCTTAGAAGGGTATCAATTTTATTTCACTATTTTAAATTTAACTATCCTAAATGTTAAAAAATGATTTAACTAGGAAAATAGCTATTTTAACAATTCTCAATCGATAACTACTCTTTGAACCTGTAATTTTGAAATTATTAACATATTTATAACAGAAAGGGAGGAGCGGCCAAGAAATGTCTAATGATAAAAATAGTTAAACCTGCGCATTATTTTGTCTACATTATAAATTGAAGTACTGGTCAAAAAGTTGTAATCGACCAGTGAATTTCTTAATTAGATCATTGTCTATATTATGAACTAGTTAAATGTGTATGTTGTCATTTAGAGAATAAAGCTGACATCTAAATAATGAATCCACCGAAAAAGTACTTAATATTTTTGTTAAATCGAGAAGTATATATAATATGTATTCTGTAAGTAATTGAGTGGATTATGATAAACAGATTACTCTGTGTAGTAACTGTATATTTTTTAGGAATAAATAAAATGTACAACTAATTGCTCTTTGTAAATAAACTGGAGTTAATCTAATTGCTTTTATTTATAATCTTTAACAACTCGATGAAAACTTATCGACTCAATATTTGCTAAAAAAAATATCATTTACGTGTCTTAGTCACATAATTGCCCATTTTGAATTTATGATGCTACATTCTAATTTTTAATCTAATAATAATTAAAATATAATTATTGTTAAATTACATATTATTATATATTATATAAGTACTATTCTATTATTTATAACAAAAAATGATTTTTGTGTTACCAAATTTAAGATAGCTATAGGAGTTAGGAATTACTGCTTTCTTTAAATTAGTGTAAGTTTAAAATATTCCATTATCATTCATTGTTTTATTGAACTTAGGTTTCCTTTGATACTTATTTGATCTTTTACTTTAAGTAACTTTTCAAAACTACAAATAAACATTATACCTAAATTGTTTTTATAATAAAATACTACGTTTTAAGAATATATAATAAATCTAATATAAATTAATAAATCTAAATTATAATAATTTAAAAAAAAAAAATTTATTTTTGAAAACTCTTATATATTTAGTTGCTTAACTGAATAATATTTTTTTCAATAGAAAGATATTATTTTTCTAGCAATATTAGACATACATTTTTAATATAATTGTTAATG